CCATGTTTTCCTTTTTCACTTTTTTCTTCTACATATAACTAAGTTTCTATTTTAATAAAAATGTTATTTTTAAGATTTGGATGCCTCTCTCTCTCCTCTCTCTTATAAGGTCTCCAGAGTAAAGCTTTACCTTGTGCACTTGTCTTATCAGTTTTTTTTCTTCTTTTTGGTAATCCAGTGGGGAAGACAAGCCCCTACTCATTTTTTCGAATAGTTTAGGAGTTAGTTTATTTTAAAGTGTTAGCGGAGTGGTGTCAGTGAGAATAAAAACCACAATGTGGTGACTAGGGTGTGGGGGTCCTATCGAAAGTTTCGAATTGAACTTTTGAAGTTGCTAAATAGGAAGAGAAAAATCCTAGGAGAAAATAGATATCTACCAAATGTGGATGGAAGCCATAAAATATCGTAATTTTTTATTAGATTATTGCCAATTTAAAATTTAAAAATTCATATAATTTGCTATCTTATTTATGTAAACCAATGCTATGAGAATCATACTGACCACCAAACTTGCAAGGGTTATTGTCAAATCAAAATTGATTTGACTATAAAAAAAGAAAAGAAAAATAAAAGACATATTTAAAAATATTGATATATTATCAAAACAATGAGCGTCAAACCTTATTTAGTTAATCCAACCAGTCAAAATTTAAGATGCCTATCGAATATCAATTTTACCAAAAAGCCCGATCTAGTCTCGTAAGGACAGTCGGCAACAACTTATAGTGCCGTGAGTTATTTCATTACTTACAAAAGGAATCAATTATATATTCTTTTGAAGTATTTTATGTAAAATAAAGATTCAAGTGTATGCTATGAAATAATGAAGAATCAATTATGTTATGTAAAATAAGTTTTAAGCTGGTGACTATAATAAAGTACTAGTAAATAAATGAATATTATCTTGATTGCCAAGTGGGGCTTCATAGTAGGATACAATATATAGAATTTACGTCTTAACCATGTGCAATGTTTGAATCCAGACGTGAATCAATTTTATAACCCACAAAAGTGAAAAGATATACAAAATATTAATTATAGTTTTTAACTTTCAAAAGTCAAAATAATTATGTTCTAAAAATTAATTTTGAATTAATAAATGCCAAATAATATTCTACTCTTGTAGGAGAAAAATATTCATTTATTCTCTCGGGTAAAACCCCACCGAGACCCCAAGAGATTAAACTCAATATAAAAAATTAATCTGATTGTATTCTTTATGCACTTGAAAAAAAACAATGTATCGATACTGAAAAGTGACCATCAATTTTTTAAGTGGTGAGATATGAGTGTTAAAAAAATAAAATTTCATTTTTTGAGAATAATCATTTAGTAATTCTTTAGTGGTTTCAAAATTTCATATTAAAAAAATCCTCACAAATAGGCATTATGACTGAGGGAGTAGAAGTAAACTATGCTTCTAAAATAGTATAATATATGTGACTATAGAACCTTAAATAATAAGTTAATAACTATGTTAAAAAAAAATGGGTGAGGTTGCATAACACACTCTCTTTATATTATAGAAGGTGTACCTCTAAATTTTGCTTGCAAATATAGGTTGCCTATTAATAAAGGGTACAGTTTTCCTATTAATAAAGGGTACAGTTTCTATAAGGTTGCAACCTTAAACAATCTAATTAAGGCGCACCTTAAAATTTTATCATAACTTATAATTTTGTTGTAAAAAAATCTTCGTATTATCTTAAAATCTATTTTCATACCTAATTAGAAAATTTTAAATTTCAAAAATAGTTAAAATTAAGTAGATCTATAAATATATGAAAATCTTGAAAATGGGTGGTCTAGATAATGTGTTGCAAGATCCACTATTTCCGAAACTCAAAAACTTTTTTTTTCATATTCACACATCTCGATGTCGAGATGATCGATTAGATTGTTTTTCAACATTAAAACAACATTTCTGATAGATTTTTGAGGTGCATATGTGATTCTACATTTCAAGGTTGCAACCTTATATAAACTTTTCCCATTAATAAAATTTAGATTTTCAATAAATAGTAATATTTGTAAACACTTGAAAATCTTGAAAGTAAACCGTCCAAATAAGTTGTTACAAAACACATTATCTTTTCAATTTTTTTATTTTTATTTTTATGTATATCTTGAGATTGAGACGATTAATTAAAAGGTTCACATTAGAACACCCTCCTATAGACTATTTTTAAGGCGCACCTTATTTCAATCTTATATATTCCAAAAAGGGAAAAGTTTATGTAGAGCCGAGGCTCTAAAATGTCAAATTCGAGCCTAGCTCAACACTTTCACTAGAAGAGGTTGTTTTGATGCCCAAATATCCTCAAATTGACATCAAGATACATGGACATGAAAAAAAATTGGATTTTAACTTTTGGAAATAGTGTATTTAGTCGTCAATTTTAAAAACTTTTAAGTTTTCATAGATATCTCAATCTATATTATTTTTGAAGCTTTAAACTTTATAAATAAAAATATATATATTTTTTTAAACTATCAAAATAATTTTCAGTATTGAAACCACATTGCTCGAGACCATTTGAAGGTAAGCTCTAATTGAATTGTTTAGAGCGTGCCAAAAGAATCAATATAAAAAGCCGTAACGGAGAGAAGGATTGCCAAAAGAGTCAATATCAAAAGCCGTATCGGAGAGATATCCGGGCGTGGTATTTTTTCGTTATTTACCAAACTCACGCCCTTACGTGTCATTTTCGAGTTCGTACTTTTAATGGAAATGACAAAGACACCCATTTGCCGACTTGTTTCCTTCGATATAAAATATAGGACAAATCTGGGTTAATATTGAAATAAAAGCACTATACCGGTGTATTTTACCGAGCTTTTTTAATAAATGATCCAAAATCTCGCCGAAATTTTCTTAAAACGCTGTCTATCCGCTCAAAATCTCAGTGTCGAAAGCTTCTAGTAATGTCGCCAAGAAAGTGTGACCAAAATGTCTCTCTCTAAAAGAGAAATGTTTCTCTCACTAAAGTCTAAAACATTTCCCGTATTCAATTCTGGGCTGTGTTTTTCGTTTTTTTTGAACGTGTCGGCTGTGTTTTTCTTAATCATGCGCTCTCCTAATAAGAACTAGGTTTCATTGCTGGAGCTTGCAGTTGTAGAGATTCATGGCTGAAACTATGGCGCCCGAAATTGCAGAAAAAATCGACGATCGGCTGGAATTATCACCGGAAATTGAATTTCCAGCCAATTTTCTCTCTAGTTCTGTGTCTTTTAGAGCGGATGTGAAGACTAAGAAGAAGATTTCTAAGCGGATTAGCTTAGATGAAGATGACTTTGTGAACTTCTTGCATGGCTCTGATCCAGTTAAGATCGAGCTTAATCGTCTCCAAAATGAAGTAATAGGTAATATCACTCTTGATTTCATCTCCATTATATGAATCGTGTTTCTGTTTTTGTGCCTTTCTTTTTTTTTTCTTCTCAGATGATCATTCAGAGTGAAATGAAAAAGCCAATGTTACTTTGATTCTCATACCTATTATCTGAATTTTGTTTATCTATTTTCTTTTTTGACAGATCGATTTTTTGAGTGGTTACTTTTGGGAATTCAACAGGGAAATGTGCTTGTTGTGGTTTAAATTTTTGCTTTCATTTTTACTTTTTCTGAGTTATTAGATGATGCTTGCTGATGATTATCTAATTGCAACAGTTTTAGTGTAGCTAAGATTATGCACGCTTAGTCTTTAGAGCCAAATAAGCTTGGCTTGGTCATGGATCATATATTAAGATAGATAGTGTGTTCATCTTGGAGATTACCTTTGATGATTCTCTTATTAGAGTTGCAATTTAAATTTTTATGTTGAATTGAGTTTCTTTTTGTATTTTTGCTGATTTTATACTTTACTTTTATGAAATCTGCTTGCTCTTTGAAATTCAATTTCCTGATGCATTCCATTTGTCCCCATTTTCGTGTGAATTTTGTGTATCACATATCTGTAATCAGCGATATAATATATATATTCAACTGAAATTTAGCAGATTTTAGACTTTCGCTTTCCTTGTAATGTGAAAGTTTTCAAATTTATTGTCATAGAGCATACTAGTCCCAATTTGATTGTGATATTAAAATTGAATATCACCATGCCTTAAGTTCTTGTTTCTCAGAACATGAAATGTGCTGGGATATAATAGTTTAATCTTTCTTCTTTAATTTTGATGTGTGTACAGCACTAGGAAATTTTTTGACAAGTAATTATAATGATGCGACAGAAAAGGGATTCCTGGATAATATCCCTCTAAAAATACTTCACTGATAATAAGGCACTAATGGCAATTGTGACCATGGTTGTATTTCACTTACTCATAGGTCTTGTTATAAACCCCTTATTTTTTCTTATGGTAAAATTTTAAAATACCATGTGAACTTATGTACTCAAGAATTGGAGTTATCAACTCTTGGCTTTAGGCAGACATTTGCATGTTTGTTCTTGGGTCAGTGCTTGTTCAGGTTATTTTGTACCTCAATCTCTTATATTCTGAAGGATATTCCACACAACACATGCAGTTTGGATTTGTTCATAGTTGCTTGAGTTAAGATTCCAAAATTCATTGTTAGCCAGTAACCTGTTATCCATATATTGTAAGCGTAAATCTTGAACTAGTAACAGAGTTGTCTATGGAATTGTTCCATAGAGAATAGAACTCTAAGATTGTTAAATTGTTGCTCATTTAAAACAAGAAAAAAAAGCAAAAACTTTTCTGAGATTCACATCACTGAGAGTCTGAGACCCCTACATTTAAAGGGCCAGGGCTCCCTTGTTTAGTTTTATTTTAGAGAAATTAAGATGTAGTATCTGTTATCTTATCTATGACTAGTGAGAGCTCTTTCTTGATAAATTGCCCTTCTCTAATGAAAAACTCCAGTGTAATGCAGCTTTTTTCTATGTGCTCTTGAACTCTAATTTGAATGTGGTATTAAAACATCAGCCACCTGCTATTTGAATATCTTTACATGAACCTTATTTGCACAATGGTGCAGAAAGGTCATTGTTTTGTGTTTTGCGTTGTGTATTGCCTTTTTTTTCTTGAATGTTTGATTACTTTTTTATTCCAAGAAATGCTTGTTTCCGGCATATTAGTTCCAGCTCCAAGTAGTGCTGACTTGTATTCTGTTATACTAGACAAGAATCGTGAACTAGTAGATGCTCAGGCAGAGATTAAGGCTTTAAAGCTGACTGATAGGATAAAAGAAAAGGCTCTCGAAGAGGTATGTTGCTCCATTTTCCATTTGTGATGGTTATTAGAGCATGAGTTGTCTTTTGAAAGTTGACCAATGTCTAATTGCTGGATAACATTTTTAATTCAATTGCCTGCTTTCTGTGTAGCTAACAGAGGAGCTGAGAAAGATGGTGGAAAAATTCCAGGCATCTGAAGCTGCATTAGAAAATAAGGTACGTTATCAAATTTTGATGCTTGTATGTGCCTTATATTGTTTTATTAAATTCATTTTCTGATGATATTCTGCCCCTTTATTATTGAAATGAACATTCCAAAACCAATCTTCAATTTATTGCTATTGCAGAATCTAGAGATTAAGAGGGTTGTAGATGAAAAGAAAGCGGCTTTGGCTGCTCAATTTGCAGCAGAGGCTACTCTTCGAAGAGTCCATGCTGCACAGAAGGATGAAGAGTTGCCTCCATTGGAGGCTATACTCTCCCCTCTAGAGGCTGAGATTAAGCAATTGCGACAAGAGGTGCTGCTTAATAAAATTGAATTTGCTCTCAGCGAATTTCAATTTCGTAAAATTCTTTAGTAACCTAGGAGCAAAATCTCGCTTTTATTAGCAGGTCTCAAAGTTGCAGGACGATAATAGGGCCTTGGAGCGCCTAACAAAATCCAAGGAAGCTGCTTTGTTGGAAGCTGAGAGGGATGTACAATCTGCGTATTTCAAGGCATCGCTTGTTGATGAGTTACAAAACAGGAACCAGGAGCTTATGAAACAGATTGAAATATCACTGGTTAGAGATGTTGGATTTTTTTTCTGTTGTTTTATATATTAAGTTGATGGTGTGTGGTTATGTGGATCCTGTTTTTGATTTGATATCTCAATTTTGAAACATTTTAGGAAGAGAATAAGATTCTAGACAAGATAAACCGCCAAAAGATTGCAGAGGTTGAGAAGCTAGGACAGACAGTTCGGGACCTAGAAGAGGCTCTTCTTTCTGGGGCTGCCGCTGCCAATGCTGTGCGAGATTATCAGCGGCAAGTCAGTGAGCTGAAGGTTGGGACAATTGTTCTACTTATCTTTTTTAATATTGCAATTTTCACATAATCCATTTTATCGTGCATTACAAGTTACGTACTTTTCATCAATTGGTTGGGCTTGAGCTTAGGGAGAGAAAAGAACCCTTGAGAGGACACTGTCCCGTGCAAAGGTTGTGGAAAATCGGGTTGCAGTTGTAGTTGCGAATGAATGGAAAGATTCAGATGGAAAAGTCATGCCTGTTAAGCAGTGGCTCGAAGAACGGCGGTTCCTCATGGTATTTATTCAATTTGTGATGAGTGTGGATCCATTTATGAAGCTTTGTTCATTTTAATAAATAATGCATTTAAAGAAAAGGACATTATGTTTTGTGACGTGATATCTACTTGTTAGTCTTCCATGTCAAATAAAATGAATCCTTTTTATAGTTTGGCAATTCATTGCAATATCAAGAGAATTGCACCTAAACTGTAGAAAGACTGGATATAGGTGCTTGAGTCCCAAAAAAGAGGAAATGAACTCTCCAAATGAGATGGACTCATGACCCCTCTCCCTAGAAGGAGAAATCCTCCATATTCATGGATTTTAAAATGTGCTGCTAAATAATTGACTTGCCAAGACAAAGATAAATGATCCCCATTCCCCTCTAATATGACTATTGCACAACAAAGAAAGAAACAAACATATTGAACGGAAAATTGAAGTTGTGTATCATGTTCATGAGAGAGAGAGAGAGAGAGAGAGAGAGAGATTTCTGAAAGTGTGTGATGTGCATGATAGAGGTGAACATGTGTTCCCTAAATTTTTTTATCAATTTTACTTCCTTTTCTTTTTCAGGGAGAAATGCAGCAGCTTCGTGACAAGCTGTCTATAGCAGAACGAACTGCTAAAACAGAGGCTCAACTCAAAGTATATAATTATTCAATCTTTCTACAGTTTTATCATATAACATAACTTACCAATGGATCTAACCTGGGCTCCTCATTTCTGGTGGGTGGTTTATTAATCTATAAACTATTTTACATATATAGGAGAAGTTTCAACTAAGGTTGAAGGTTGTTGAGGATGGATTGAGGTCATCATTCAATGGGGGTGTGCGTTCTTCAGAGCTTCAAAACTGTTCAAATGGTGTATCTCGACGTTTATCACTGGGAGGATTTGAGAATTCTACCAAGCTTTCATCGAATAGTTTTGGGACAAAGAAAGTACCTAGTCTAACAAGGTCCTCAACAATGTCCAGCACTTCTTCAAGTGCACTTCTGAAACATGCCAAAGGAGCATCAAAATCATTTGATGGCAGCAAATCGTCTTCTGAAGGCCAATCAATTGATGGAAACAAATCATTTTCTAATGGCTTAGATGATCCTTGTTTTGGAAACAACACAGACGAATCATCTATGAATACTATAAATAACTCAGGGAGAGAGATTTGTTGCAATAAGCAGTCTGAATTTGCAGAACCTACATCAACTGATCTAGTGTCTGGTATATTATATGACATGTTACAGAAAGAGGTGATTGTTTTGAGAAAGGCAAGTCATGAAAAGGATCAAAGTCTTAAAGACAAGGATGATGCAATAGAGGTATGCCCTTCATATAATATCTAGTTATTCTATTTATCGTGATTCTATGGGCTCTTTAAGAAAAACGCCTTGTAAGAATTTTCTTTTAAGAAATGAGACCTCATGAGATTTTATTTTTGACTTTGGCCCTCCCACTTTTTAAGCAGAAATAGACTGATTTGCCCTATTTTAAAAAAAAAATCTTAAAGCTTCTCATCTCTCACTTTTTTCTCATGGTTTTCTTTCTGCCCTCTTCCCACATCCTCTATTTGAAAAACCAACACATTCTTCCCTTCTCTCATATTCTCTTACATTCTCTCTCTAAAAAATGTGAGAAGAGGCAAGAATTGGGTGGCAGTTGAGAAAGAGAATGTGAGTGGAGGTAAAAATGATATTGGGTTTCTCGAGAGAATATGAGAGGGAACAAGAATGGGATTCGGTTTCTAGAGAGAGAATGTGATTGGAGGCAAAAATGAGATTAGTTATTGAGAGGAGACAAGAATTGGGTTGGGTTTCTGGAGAGAGAATGTGATAATGGGGAAGACCATGGTAGGTGTTTAGAGAGAAAATGTGAAAGATGGAATAATGACTTGAGTTTTTAGAGAGAGAATGTGAAAGAGAGGAGCTTAAAAGAATAGGTTTTTAGATATATAGGCAAAGGGCTGGGAAAAAACCATGGGAAAAATTGTGCAAGATGTGAAAAAAATGAGACTAGTAATTTGTTTTTAAAAGGGGGCAACATAATCCATTTGTCCCTCTACAGAAAGGAGGGAAGCCAGAGTCAAAATTAAGCTTTCAATAAGTCCAAATCTTTAAAATAGAATGTAGTAATATTTTTTTCATAAAAAGCCCTAATTCTAATGAAAATTGCCACGGCTTTCTTGTTCTGAACATTTATTTGCCTTCTCTTATAAACTATCCAGATGCTAGCAAAGAAAGTGGATACATTGACAAAAGCTATGGAGGTGGAGGCCAAAAAAATGCGTAGAGAAGTAGCAGCAATGGAGAAGGAGGTGGCATCCATGCGAGCTGATAATGAACATGGTCAAAGAGGGAGGCGTCTTAGTGGATCCTCCAAAGGGTTGCTTAACAATGCTCACATGATATCAGGAAGGTATGTGGTGATTTGCCTGGCTTTATTCAAAGGGCTGATGGACTACTGCACACAACCTTTTCTCAAAAATGAAGTTGCAGATTTTTCTTTTGTGCAACTTTTACTTTTATGTGTTAACTTCCCATGACTTTGTCCGTAACCTATAATAGTTGATCGCTCTTCTCTTACTCTCTATTCGTATTAGTCTTTATTAAGTCACACCTGTTCATCTACTGGTTCATATTCAAACGTGAATGGTGCGAAACCAACCAATCTTCCAAATTTAAGGAGAAACCAGAGATTATCCATGTGTTTAAGGTACACTGAATTTCAATAACAGAAAAGAAAAAAAATTTGGTACAATGTTATGGGAAGCTGCGACGGATGTTATACTTCCCTTTCATGTAGGACAAAATTTCAAGTTTCTAAAAGAATTGAACTTTTGGCTTCGTCCCTGAGTTAAACTTGAAAGTGGATGGAAGAATTATTCCTGCAACAATTGAAAGTGCGTCTGGATTAGAGATGTGTCCTAGTTGAAACGCTTAGTGTTATCTGTCTAATATTTAGAAATCCCCCATTTTTGTGTCCAACTTGCAAACTAGAATACAATAAGCAGTCCAATCCTTTTTGCCACTCGTGGTTACCCCAGTTTATTCATGGAACGCAACATGATTGTGAATAGAGACACGCACACAAATTTTGGGTTTTGAAACCTATGTGAAGGCCTTCCCATAAGTCTGAAGAAAATATTATCTTTTATTGGATTCATGACTGTAAACTTCTAGTTGCTGAAGACAACTGGTAATAGAAGCCCAATAATGCATTGTGTATGATTAGCAACGCTTTTCCTCGTAGTTTATCCCTTGTTCTTGAGACTTGACTCTGCGTTACATACCCTATAGCTGGTTATTAATCTATACGGATTCTAAAAAAGTCTCGATCCAATAAATTCATCGATCCAATATCATATGTTTTGTAGAGGGCCCTGTGAGATGGAAAAGGTGCTAAGTCCTAGGTTTGATCTTGTCAATGCCTTAATCTCTTCTTGCATGACCTTTTCTGAATGTCCATGTTTCATTCCATCCACTTCATAATAAGTTCCTGGACAAAGTAATGAAGTATAAGCAACAAGAGGAAAATGTCAAGAGGGGAGTAAGCCATGCAAACAAGTTTTAAAAAGTGGAAGATAAACATAAGAGCAAGTATGGACCTATGAAAGATGAATAAGAACATAGCTAAAAACTTTCTTTTTGGTATTTCCCTATCTTAGTAAAAACTTTTTGTTGTCTGGATCGCTTATCCTGTGGGTTTTTGGATATTCCAAGTCACCTACTTCATGTTGTTGCACTACAATCTTGAGAGAGTGATCGTGATTATCATAAAAGATATCAGAAAAGCAACTTTTGACAAAGCGAGGGGTCAGAGTCAGCAAAGTAGAAAAACCAGTGATGTGCAGATGGATGCCGGTTTGTTCTTGGTTATGTATTGAATATGATATAAATTCATGCAAAAACTGGTTTAGGAGTCCCTATAACAATAATAAGTTTCGGCAATAACCTTTTTGTCATATGCCTCAGCAAGAACAATTTCATCAAACAAGCTGAGGCAACTTCCAAAAGGACTGATGAAGCGAGTTTGTTACAAATTTGTGTACCATAAGAAATTCTTGTGGGGCATTAGAACATGTACATTCAATACCACATCATGTCTGGGGTAAATGTTTTATCCATATTTAAGCCTAAGTTTGCTTGCTTTGTCACATCTCATGCTATTTATAGAGAATTCTATATTGACAAGTTCTTCAGGTTAGGAGCTTCTATGGTTTTTTTTTTATTACCCTTTTACTTTTCCACATATTATGATTCTTTCATCCATCTCTCAAGAAACACAACTTTGGTTTTGAAACACAAGGTTTTTTATTCAGTTTCATGTCTTGTGTTAGAAGGCATTCTTGTGGCATGGAACAGGAAACGAGTGGCTGTAAATTGACAAATTTTAGCTAGCTTTCTCTGGTAAAATATAAAGTGTTGTTTATGTTGATGTTTAGATTTTCAACCATGGCTATTGCAATCAGCAAAATTTACAGCCTATTATTTTGTAGATCGGAGAGTTAGTTATTCAGGACTTGATTTTTTTTTTGTGCCTTTTCCTTTGAGCTATTACCTGCCTATGAACAAATGGTTGAAGTTGCAGAGTTCATCTCTCTTTCTACCCCTTGCAATCCTGTCAACGAGGAACTATGTGATTTGCTTGCAGTTTGATTTCTGAAATATAGGCCTAATGTTAATTTTTATGGCTTGCAGAAACACAAAAATCCCATGAGAACGTGAGATTTACTTCGTCGTGAATTCCGTACATACTATGTTAGTCTCTCATGCGTGATGCATATTTTTTGCATCAGCTATTTATGAACTTTGTAAATAAGGATTTTCCATCCTCTGAAATCAGTTGTTCCAATAAAACCTCCCCCACTCTCTCTCTCTCTCTCTATCACCACATACACATGCATGCAGTCAAACATGCAGGCAAAACCTTTTTTCTTCTTTAAAAAGTACAGAAAGCAGGCCTCTATTGGATTGTTACTTGTGGAGGAGTGGTGGTCTTTCATGGTTTGCATGGGTGGCGCACAGTTGAAGGTCTCTTTGGAAAATGAAGGAGACTGTAGTGAAGGCCAAACCCGCTCTAGAATCTCGAAGGAAGAATTTGTGAATGTAAATACATCTCTCTCTCTCTCTCTCCATATTTTGCAGTTGGCATTGAGCCTCTTATCTCAAGGCATATCTTGCAGTTGGTACTGAGCCACTTATCTCGAGGCATGTAAGTTAAGCAGTCGTGTACTAAACCCATTTAAAATGGCATGGACATTTGCGAACACAAATGAAAGCTACTGCTTTTTTCAGTGCCCAGAAGTTGCCAGTTCGACTTGAAACTGCCTGAGTCAAATTGGAACGGCTACACACCTGGTCCGACCCTCCCTGAACTGGGACTCAGGACCCAGGGTATATAAACATCATAAATTATTGTAATAAAAATAATATTTTTAGGGCTTGAGGTTTAAACCTTGTTTATACACTTGAACTCTTGTTATTTTTTTATTTGATTTATTTGTTAGATTTTGTTTGGTTGAATAGACCAAGCCAATTTGCCGACTTGGTTTGTTAACGTGGGTGGCCTGTTCAACCCATTAATCAGAGTTTATAAACAATGGACTTTTAAGTATGGGTAAACTTTTCATGGACATTCAGTTATCTCAAGTGTTAATTTGTGACTGAGTGTATTGGTCTTTACAAAATTTAAAAGAATTTAGAATCTTGTAATGAGGTAGGCCTTAAAGATATGCTCCTTGGCTAAGCAGTTTTCTACTGCATTTCTGTGTAAACATCATAGAATAATATTACTAAACTTATGGGGATGTCTTTGACTAGTAGGTGTTAAACCCATTGCCCAAACTTCGTCTTGTGCATTATTTTAACTAGTAATTTTTTATTCACCTGGTGCCCAATTTCTCCCAAAAAAAAAAAAAAAAAGAAAAGAAATAAAAGAACACTAATTCTGATTCTTAAAACCAGTCTTTTAAAAAATTTATCTGCCGATCCAAAAAAATTATAAAGTAAAAGCAAAAAAAAAAAACAGTATTTAAACTGAGAAATATTGAAATCAATTTTATTTTTTTAGTTCAAAAACAGATTTAGATGTGCTTAAATTTTAAACGATAGTTTATCTGATAAATTATATTCAAAATCGATTATTTATATTCAAATTTTAACACGGGCAGTCCCTTAATAGAAACGCCTGGTTCTTTGATAAAGTATTATATCAGGATGATTTTGAAAATCAGGCCATATGATATATATCAGGCTGATAGAATCGGCTTGCTTACCTATTGCTCCGATTTCAACGGCGGATTCCATAGATCCAAATTGGTGATTTTTCAAAAAAAAAAACTTTAAAATTTTAGATATAGATATTGTTCGATTGACGGTAGAGTGGCTATAGATTGGTATTTTATCTCAATTTCTTTTGAGAATGACATGGGCGTTGATGAACATGATTTGAGAACTTTAGTGTTCGAAACAGTTCCCTATGGTTCGTCAATGTGTAATTGTGTATAGAAAACATGGACAATAAAATTTTTGCTATAATTATATTTCAATGCGGTGTTTATATTTCAGTAGTGTGTATTACGGGGTATGTTCCAACAAACTAAGTTTTTGTGTGCCGGTGATGCAATTCCATGGAAAAAGTTTATACAAGGATGCTACCTTATAATATATAACTACGGATGCCCGCCAAAAATCTATTCGAAAAGGTAGGTCATCTCAACATCGAGATGTATATGAAAAGATTTTAAGTCTCAGAAATAGTGCATTTTACAACATATTATCTACGCCGTCTATTGTCACGATTTTCATATGTTTATAGATCTATTTGATTTTAACCATTATTTATTAACAATAGTGGACAATGACATATTCCGTGGGTGACATCGCCCTCAAGATGCATTAATTCTTTTATAACTACTAGTAAAATGTCACTATTTTTTTTTATAAAAATATCCATTATACTCTTTTAAATGACCAAAAATGCCTCTAGACACAAAGTTACTACACTATAGGATAAGTGTATCCAAGTGTCAAAAAATGTTGACGACTGTAAAGATATGCACCATCCGGCCTAAAAAAACTATATAAATATAAATATATAATATAATATAAAATATTTATATATAATATAATAAAAAAGTATTTATAATATAATAATATAAATATTTTATATATTATATTATAATATATATTAAAAATTAAATATTTATATTTATTTTATAATTTATTTGATATTATATAGCATATATTAGTTATATATTACATGTAATATATAATATTACTATATATTTATATTATATATAATATTATGTTATAGTAAAATTAGATTATATTATATCATATTAATAATATTCTTATTATTTATTTATATTATGCATAGTAAATAGTGGTCAACAAAAAAGTTATGAAAGATTAAATTCCTACCCGCTAAGAATTTATTCTTTCACTTTTTAACAAATGAATGAAAACTTTTGTTTAAAAATTAGTTTCTGAACTTTAGATATAAAATGTGAAACAAATGTGGAACTTTTTAAAAATCTGAAAAAATATTTTCTAAAAAAATACTATCAGAAAAACAAACACGTCCTTAGGGAAGTAGAGATTGAGAGAGATATTAAATATAGATGGATGAGTGGGTGGGAAAGAAATAAGAGAGATTACATGAGAGATTTAATATAAAGAGGTGAACTAGAGAAGAGATTTAAAGAGCTAGAAACAGTTGACTTTGTAACTTTTTGAAAAGAGATAAAGGTTGAGTAAAAATGGATTTTTATAAAGATAGATAGAGTAGACTTTGAAAAGAGATATACTTTGTTATCTATCTATCTATAATATAGTAAGCGAGAAGAACACTCATCTTATTATCCCGCCACATGTCTTTTTCATTCAATTCTTATCCATTTCTTTTTCCCACGAGAGTAACACCCCTCTTATTATCGCGCCATGTGTTCTTTTTAATTCAATTCTTATCCCTCTCTCTCCCACATTTTTACACATGAGAGTAACACCCCTCTTATTATCGTACGATGTGTTCTTTTTAATTCAATTCTTATCCCTCTCTCCCACATTTTTACACACACTTTCTTTTATTTTTTTTAATTTATTCTTTTCCCGTTTCTCCATTATCTATCTCTCTACATCCTACACATACAAATATTAAAAATAGGTAACTCTTGTGTGATGGCAACTCATCTTCTCTCTATCTCTCCCACGTTTCTATATTAGCTCTCTCTCTTCGTCCTACATGAAACTACATACAGATAGGTAATTCTTTTGTGTAATGACACTTCATATTCTCTCTCTCAATTAAAAAAATTTTAATTTACTTATCTTTTCATCTCTCCCAGTTTCTATGTTCTCATTCTCTCTTTCTCCCTACATGTATCCAAAGGCAAAAAAATAAGTAACTCTTTTTTACGATGACACCTCATTTTCTAGGTAACTCTTTTTTCTTTTAATGTGGTGACCTTGTATCTTCATTTTTTCCCAATTTAAATAAATTCCTTTATCCCCCCAATTTAAATAAATTCATCTCTATCTCTTCATGATTTCTCTCACCCCCTCCCACATTTATCGTCCCTTCCCACATTTCTTTCTCCTTTATTTCTCTTCCAGTCCCACCTATCTCTCTCCCACATATCTCTCTCATTTTTCTCCTTCCTACTTTTTATCTCCCCCTCTCACAATTATCTTTACCCACGTTATTTTCTTACAATTCTCTCTCTCTCTCAACTTTTTAACCTGTGCTTCACACACAACACTTGTGACTATGCTAATACTCTCCAGGGCAATCATATATTTTTTTCTCTACACAGTTATGTTGATTTTCATTTTCTTTTGATATTATATATTTTCTTGATTTCTGTTTTTTTTTTTGGGTTTTCTTTTCCAAGAACCCTGAAGCCCATCTGCACGCAATGGAAGAAGCAAGAAAGATGAATATAAGAACCTTGGCTACTTTAAGAGAGAACCTTGACGAGTATTCAACTGGTTGCTCATTGTATATTAGAGTTCTTCAGCATTACTTTTGCTTAGAAGTGTGTCTAGTGTTTAATATAAGAACTAAATAGTTTTAATTGTTATCGGTTGTACTTCTATATGTTCAATGAAATTATGTAAGGCACTCATATATTTTTTTCTCTACATTATGTTGATTTCTATTTTCTTTTGATATTGTATATTGTCTGTACTTCTTGTTCTTTTCTTTTTTTCTTTTTAGGAACCCATAGATGAAGCCCACCTACGCTCCATAGAAAAAACAAAAAAGATGTATCTAGCCGCCTTAACTACTTTGAGAGAGAACCTAGATCAGCCTTGGCTGCCCATTGGATATTAGAGTTGTTTGATATTATTTTTGCTTAGAATTAATATAAAAACTAAAACATTTTAATTGGTTATCAGTTGTACTTTTATATATGTGCAATGAAATTATGCTCATAGATGATAAAATACACCCATATAAAATGTATTAGTTGTCATGCTTGGACCTATGCAACATTTTCATGAAGATGAGTGAATGATTTATCATCATCTTTGTTTCATTTTTTATGTGATACTCATTGTTTAATGGGTGTGGTTTCTATAAGGTTGCAACCTTAAACAATCTAATTAAGGTGCACCTCTAAATTTTATCATAATATTGTAATATGTAATGTTTGTGTAAAAAATAATTAAGATTGTCTTAAAATCCATTTTCATATATAATATAAAATTTTAAACTAAAAAATGATTAAAATCAAGTAGATCTATAAACCTATGAAAATCTTGAAAATGGATGGTCTAAATAATGTGCTGCAAGATGCACTATTTTTGGACTCAAATTAGAGGTTAACTGCCACACCCCGAGATGTGACAGATAAAACATATATACATCTATTGATAGGACAAATTTACAGTGGCGAGGTCTTATAAAGTAACAAAAGAAAGTTTAAGCAAAACTACAATATCTTCCCAAAGTTGATCTTGACGAGGACACAAATGAAACCGCAGTTATCCTGAAAAATGTTTACCATAGTTTGATGAGTTTCGCCACTCAGTAAGTGATCATCATAATCCTAAAAATAATCATGGTTGAAGGATATCAATATTTTCCAAAAAGAAGATTTATTAACAGAAATGCATCAACAGTTTCACTTTCAATAAATGCATAATTAAGTATAATCCGAATAATTGAAATGCGCATAACACTTTAACGCGTCAATGCATAATTCAAAGGATTTCACAAAATACCCTACTGGCGTCCCAAGTAGGTCACCTATATACCCCATCAGCGTCCTGATAGGTCCACTTAATCCCTATCGGCGTCCCAGATAGGTCCACTTAATCCCTGCAGGTCCACTTATACCTCACCGGCGAACCGGATGAGTCCACTTAATCCCTACCGACGTCCCGGATAGGTCCACTTATACCTCACTGGCGAACCGGATGAGTCCACTTGCATACTTAAATTATTTCAAAATCTCTTTAAACATTCGAAAGCAGCAAATATCATGTACTCAACATATCACTGAAATCACTAATATGAATTTCACTAAAACCATTAATAACAGTCACTTTCAATAACATTTCAACCAATCAAACATTTTGGGCTCAAATTTAGAAAGATAGCAATTCGTA